ATAAATAGAACTAAGTGTGTACGGCAGGGATACCTGAAAAGAAAGATTCTAGTGGCCTCAGAGGGACAGCCGAACATAGGCAGTCACTAAAATTCTCGCAGTTTTGTTTAAACTTCACAGTTTTTGAAAGCAAAATAAAAGAAATGGAGAATTACTATTAACAAATTACACAAATATAATTGTCGAATTGGCACCCCCAAATGAAAGAGGGAGTCCATCAGAAATAAAAAGTATTCTCTGGAGCAGCATCGTAAAAAGAAAAAAAGGGGGGGGGGGGGGTTTAAAAACATACTGTGTTGTAAAGGTTCCTCTGCTCCACTTCTTCGGCACGGACCAGAAAGCGTGATCATACAAAACTACTTTGTTTGCAAAATCGCTCCGACCAGAAAGCGCATCTTCGTGGTGCCAGACGTTCCTGCCGTTACTCACGACACTGCATCAAGCAAGAATATTTTTTGTTTCTGAATACATGAGTTGCACTGAGCGCAAACATTCTACAGCATGCATTTTGCACCACGAGACTTGATTTTTTCAGCAAAAGGAAATTTCAATGACCACTAGCATATAGTATGATGATGTCACATGCAAACCATGTTAAACAGTTCAGTTTTCTGGTGAAATGTGATGCTCTCAACACAATACAACCGTTTCACTCTAAGTGTGAGCATAACGAAGCTACAAGAACAGGCTCCGGGCTTTCAGCATCCTTGCCAAGCACGCACGCTCGTGCAGTGCAAGCATGCTCGCGCTTATAGCATCGGCTGCGTCTGAACTTAAAGGGACCCTGCAAAGCATTTCTGGACTTTTTCTAATTTGCAACGCGTTCACTCGAACTAGTGAGTGGGACTCTGGCAAAACATTAAACAGAAAATAAATAAGAAATCTGATGTATTTTGAACATAATCGGTGAAAGAAGTACAGACTTTTGAGCACATTTTTTTTTTGTTGATGACATCCTCGGTTTGAACCAATAGAGAACCGAAACGACAAGAGCGTACAACAACCAGGCACAATCTTCCTAAGTGTTCTTAAGTGTTAGAAATTAACATCCATTTATGAAGATGTGAATGCCCCACCAATTTATAAGTGTTCCAAGCAAAAATCAGTCAGAGTCACGTGTTTGAAAGGATCAGAAGGAGTCACGCACGCCTATCCAGCCAGTCCTAGCTCTAGAATTCTATGTCGTCATTATCCGACGCTCTCGACCAATGTCGTCACTGAACGCTCGTGTTTGACACTGATAGGCGCGCCTTTCGAAGCAGCATTTGGTTCTCTTCGTCCATTTGCAGTGCCCCTTTAAACTGAAACGAAATATAGCAAAAAGGGATGTCCAAATTGTAAAGCTTTGCAGTATATATAGTAGTCTCGCGATGATATGCGGCAGGCTAATAAAATGTTAGAGTGCGCATGACTGATAAAGCACAGAGTTGTAAAATGAGGCTCCAAAACAAGTGCACGTAAAATCGAATATAACTTCAGCCTCCCAAGACAGTATTCTGCGAAGTTTCGAGCTCGTGCAAGCCGATGTCCAAATCTAATTTAAATTAGAAATATAATGCCTGTTCTTCGCGTTATTTATGTGTAATTAGGAACATCATTCCTCGCATCTCTATTAGAGAAGTACGGGCCATAACCAACCAAGTCCTAAAAGGTTAGGTTAGAACGTTTCAAAACCGATTAGTTTTTTTTCATCGGGGGTGACTATTCGCACATGGAGTGCAGCAGCTTCTTTTCCATCTACGGTGTGTCGTTTGCTTCACTCACTTTTTCTTTAAGTGCCCTAGTCCATTGACATACGCCGATGGTTAAGTGCCTGTAGACCTAATTAGCCCAACCTATTGAAGCGTCGGGCTCTTAAATGTTTAGGACTTGGTTTGTGAAGGTCTGTATTTCTCAAATTTTTGACTCAACCAGACATAGTTCCATCATACGTGTTTACGTTTAAAACATGCATCTCTAAATATTTCTTTCTGCAGTAAGGCGTCGTGTATGGGATTATTCAGAAGAATACCATTTATTATCTCTCTTTCTGCACAATTCGTGTATTTGCTTTTAGATCTATAATGTGAGCACACACTCCTTTTTGGCATACCCCACGACCCGGTGTTTCAAGGGATACTGAACCGAAATTTAGATTTTGCAAAATAAGGCCGCAGAAGCGTTGAACGGGATGCTACGGACTCCAAAACATCTCATACACTAATATTTCAAACGGATGGCCATACTCTTGGAAAGGGAGGGTGCAATCAAGTGATAGTTTTGACGTCATTATCCTCCGGGAAAAGGTAGCGAGGAGGAGAGGGAATGGGAATCGTGACGGGATTTGTCTCGTCAGCCTTGTCGGCCGTGTTCGAATGCGCACTTCTTTTCCATAAATACAACGATCCGTTAGAGACATTGCTGTACAAGTGTTTTTTTTTTTAATTTTTCAGCGTCCCGCATGTCCATCCAGCCTTGTTTTGTGAGCTTGAAATTTTGGTTCAGTATCCCTTTCACACTGCCAAACAGTGAACATAAAAACACGTTTCCGCAGACTCAACAGATGGCGTATTTTCGAGTATCGTCCTCCCGTGTCAGTCTCAAGCGGTTATGAGAGCTTCATACAGTCAAATTTATTGATGACAATAAAAAAAATGTTTTATTATTGCCCAAAGACATGACCATGTGAATAAAGGGCCGATCACCCTAAAGATATATATCATAACTAAATGCACCCCAAAATGATATAAAATGTGCCCTGTAAATCTTTTCCGGCGTTTTTATTCTCAATAGGTACGTCTATAAGTAATTTGGGAGAACCTTAAACAATCTTTCTTTAAAGCTGATTTAAACAACATCTGTTCCTGATGCATATTACTTCTCAAACATATAGAGGTCTGTTACCACTTTTATGTGATGAAGAACAATTTTATGTGTCTGTGGGCTGGACAAAAACAAAGTACACAGTGGCGCGTCGCGGAACTCTGACAATTAAGCATGCAGACCATCAGAAAGTGACCAATTAAGTATCTGCAATGTCTAGTAGAGTATAAAATACTAATTTGTTCTATTAAAAAAAAATTAGCAAGGGTGATGCTTATTAGCAAATTGAACTCACCGGCATCTTGTCAGGAATAAACCTCAAATGCCAAGCCATGTCGAAAATGTTCACTTCGGTAGGCGCAATTTTAGGCCAGATTCAATGTGAGTACGGAGGTCACTCTCTTTTTAATGATTATTCACCTGCATCACGGTGCTGAGTGTAAACAATATTAGTCAGGAAAGCAAGCGTTATGATTGCCACTCAGTGTTCAATAAAAGGTAGACTGAAAGGGTTCGTCCTAAACCTTTCCTGACATTTTTAAAATATTATTGCTTTTAGCTCAGTTGCGTCGTCATCATATATATTGTGAAACGTATTTCGTAAGCTCTATTTCATGATATATATGGCGAGGACGTGCCCATTTCATGATTTCACGCACTGTAATTAATTCCTAAGTTCAAGAGCACTACTGGATTCTACTTTCAATACTGCGAAACAAAGTTGTACCAATCACGGGTATTTTAGGCAGCCTATCAGACTGATAACCTTACTCAGGTAAAATATATGTGACTGAGGTAAAAAAAGAGATGTTGAGTCATATAAGTTAATCTAGCTTTTCTTTTACTGTTTCATCGAAATTAAATAACAAACTTTATTTTTGGTACCTGAAAATAAGAGTGGATTTTACGAATGATTAAAATCTATATACCGTAGAATACCGCACATCCGCCCATTCCACATTAGTGCCCATATCCAAATTTCTAAGATATGAAAAAATGTGCACAGTGCATTTATATGTAAAATTGATGATCGGACAAACGCCCATCCCCCATCTTTTCGCGATTATCTTTAAATTTTGAGTGGTTACTCATTTCACTGTTGAAATATAGTGCCTATTGCCAAAAAAAAATGCAGAAAATATATTCTCAATTTAGCGGTTTGAACTGGTTCAAACCGGTTCGAACCATTATTTTTTGCTCCCTCGAACTGAACCGAAAGCCGTGAACCAGAACCGAACCGGTAAAAATTTCGGTTTGACACTGCTCACAACATTGTTGCAAAAAGAACAGCAGATATTTTGTTCCAGTCAAACTCAAGTGATATGTTGCGCACTGCAATGGACACGCAAGCTGTGATATTGAGGGAATGTTCTTTCAATTCAGATATGTCCAAAGACCAGACAGGACTAGGGTGGAGACAGAGAGGCTGCGCATGATTAACATTAAGTAAGCAACGAGGGATATGAAAAACCAAAGAGCCCAAGTAAGCTCTTCTACCATGCTCCAATGCTATCTTGTGTGCTTTAATAACTTGATTTGTGAAAACAAATATTTACATTGAAACCAATTAATGCTTTTTGCCATTAATTATACTTATAACTGTCTAAATATAACCTGAAAAACCTGAATTCCAAAATAATTTTTCGAAAACCCCGATTTCTCCACAATTACCAGTTGGGAACAAAGCGCCTAATTTTAGCCCCCCCCCCCCCCCCCTTTTTTTTCAAATATAAAACCCGAAAACGATGAAGCCTACTTTCACTCTATCTCACTAGTTGTGCGCAGTACTGTCAGAGCCACAGGTGGGAGAGAGAGGAAAGCTGTTTTTGTATGCATTTTGAGTGACGCACTAACCCCGAACGGGTGAAAAGTGACAGGGAGGGGGGGGTACACAAAAGACGGTCCGGGTAAGAAGGAAGTTCCTCCTTTGCCTTCTCTCCAACTGCTTAGCTTGCACTCTCTCCCCTGTGCTTTTGGTAGTGCTGCATGCAACTGCCATAAAACACCGGGGGAGCACGCACCTCACTTTCACTGAAAACTGGGTTAACCTAGACATGGGGGCTTGCCCAGTCAAAAGGTGCTTAACACATAATTTGTAGAACTCCCAAGTTTGAAAAATGTTAATAATGGGCGCTTCCGTGGTATTTTACGGTAGTCAGTGTATAGGTGGGGTTGGTTCGTGCCCTGAGGTGTGCTACCTTGAGGTTCTTGAGGTTGCTGAGCTGGCGGTGTGTCTCGGAGACGAGTCCATCCAGGGCAGGCTTGGGGTCTCCATAGAGGCAGACGAGGGTGCTGGTGGCCACGATGCAGCCCAGCAGGAGCAGGAAGCTCTTGGCCCGCATGGGGCACCCGCCCCAACACCGCCACGGGCCCGGGGCGGCACGCCGCGCGGCCAGGAGGGCCCGCTGGGGGCCTCACGCTGGCACCATCCTGCGCCACGGGCGCGTCGTTATGGAACGTGTTTCCGACTGGCGCGTTTACCACATCCAAAAAGGTGGTCCCTCGATTTATGCCTGATATCATAAAAATGTCAGGCTGCCGCCGGCTGCGATCCTAGCAGTGTGACAGCAGCAGTGCTGGATGTGGCAAACACCTGTTCTGCTGCTGGCCATTTGACAGTCCACAAAGGGTTCGGCAGCCGGGAGTTGGGATGTTGCGACAACGGCGACACTAGCATTCTCTCAAGCTTTCTTTCAGAAGTTCTAAGCCCAACCGCGAGGACCGCAAGGTCCGACAGCATGACGCTCCGGCTTTTGCGACGTCATTTGTTGCTACTTTGGGACCACTTTCGATACATGGGCTGTACAAAACGCTAAACACACCCATCGGAGACGGGTTCCAGGTATCGTACCATCCTTGCGACAGCTTGGCCAATGCATTCAAGTTGCCGCCACTACGGAAAAGTGCCTTCAACTGGCGCGTTTACCGATCTATCCCACCTATGCATCGAAAGAGGGCCCAAACAAAGCAACAAATTAAATTGCGGGGGAAGGACGAGAAGTGTCAAGCAGTCAGATGGCGCAATCCTGGTGGTTGGTTGTAGAAAGGCTGGCAAAAAAAGGGCGAGCGGACCCTAGGGTCGCCGTCGTCTCGGCATCTTGTGTCTGCTTTGATTTTCAACCACTGACTGGCTACAGAGTGACCTGCAGCAGAACAGGCGTCCGTCGCAATCACCACCGTAAACATCGGTCAGAGATTTGCTCCAGGCACCATAGTCACCGATAAACGAGCGTGAGATGTCGTAGTCACCGAGGGCACAGGAACATAGGAAAGATCCTCGGTCCCCGTGTTGTCATGCCTGTGCGAGCTTCCTACCCTTGGTCGTGCTTCAGCACTTCCCGAGCCTTGAGTGCGTTCCTCGGGCAAAGTATGACCGGAGACAATGAGCGCCTGGTGGAGGCTGGACGTACAAAAACGACACCTTACCATACTCATCCTGTAAATGACTATGGCGGCGATTACGAATGGAGTAATACCGGAACTTGCGTGGCTCCGCTCGCCATGCGGTGCTACCACTGGGCGACGTCATCCGTAATAAGGGATCTCTGTGTCTACCATTAAAGGGGCGCTAAAGTAGATATTGAGATCATCATTTTAAGGCGCAAACTTAATCTACGCTCCCCAATCATCCCAGAATTACAATTGTACATGGCCCTTTGTTTTCTGAGATATCTCAGAAGAAGGGCCATGTTGTGATGCTTGATCGCCTTTTTCACGTAAAAAAAAGGTTATGCACGATTGTACTTTTCGGTTTCCTACGATGCATAGGGTGCTCAGGGTGCCTCTCAGTCCCCTGGTGGCTAAAACGCGAGACAGTGAAAGAAGATGAGTGGCCGAGAAGGTCAATACATCTTAAAGAGCAGTGGTGAAAGGCACGCTAGCAATGCTGCAAAACACTGATCGTCGACACGTTTTGAGTGGGCTGCTGAGCACCCCACCAGCAGCTGCAAAAGGGAAGTGCTAAAACACTGGCAGTCTGAACGTAACAGTGCATTTCAAACTTTGGGATAGTTGTAATTACTAGACGAGCTTTTCATGGTGGGACAGGTTGAAACCGAAAAAATTGAAAGCGAACAAGCAGTGCGGGCTGCCAGCGCGCAGACTCACAAATAATCGGATACCGATCGTCCTCTGAGAAACTGCTACATGGGCGAGCAGCAACTGCCTTTGACGTATGTGCTTACATTAACAACAGATGCAGCTGTCGAGTGATCTGCAATCCACGGCCTCCCTCACAACTTGGTTCTGGCTGAACAACGGCATCCGAGTGAACTGAGCGCTAACCCAATTACGCGAGTGAAATCAACGGAAAGAAGCAGGCAGTTTAACGGGATTTGCGAGCTTCTTGAAGAGGTACGAAAAGCTATGGACTGTTTACGGGTGCCAAATGCGCTCTTCTAGTCCGCTAGCCGAAGCTGTCACTGATAACACGAAATAGCAGCGCCGCTTGAGTCAGCGCGGTGATCAAGCTGTCGTAACACACGCAAAACGTGTGTTATGTCAGTTTTGAGCGCTGTATAAAGGTAGCAGCACCCTTGGGCCCCGCCTTTTTAGTTCTTTTCTCGCTCGATTCGCTTCGTGCACGTCTTTTACCGCTCGAGACCCAACAGGTGCTCGGACGACTTTTGGAGAGGGGGACTCGAGACATCGCTGGCCACGGAATCACTCTGGGAACAAGACTCGTGCCAAATGCACGACAAACAACAAACTTGTCGGCGGCAGTGATCTGGCAACGTCGCGACGTAAATAGTCACCAGAGCGGTACGCCACTCACCTTGATCGGGGACGAAACGATCCGCGGAAGGTCAAGAAATCATGCCCGAGAACTTTCTGGCGGGGCGCTCGGGGGGACTTCACGAGTGAAGAGACCCGCGTGCGATACCGGACCACGCTACAAGAAAGTCACGCCACCACACCAAACGTCGCGAAATTTTTACGCACCACACAGGTTGCCGCTCAACACCGGCATTTTATCGCCGAAAAAAACCCCGCAGAGTTGTTTCATCAACTCGCGTAAAGGTGTCGCTAGTGTGCTGCAAAATCCGATGGATACGACTCTGGCTAGACCGCTGTATTACTCGTGTAGGGCGGTAGCTTGCGCTACCTCGCCAATAAGTTTTGCTCTTCACAGGATTGTATTATGTGAGGCATTGAAGTCTACCCACTATCCTTTCAATCAGAGCTCGGCATTCTGACGCCATCGCAACCCCTAAGCGAAATTCCCTGAAAAGATTCCCTTTTCAAAAACTTTTAAAGATAAAAAAAAAAAAAAAAAAATTCTAAAAAAGCTTTAGAAAAAAAAAAATCTTTCAGCCTTTCCACTCTGGTGAAGAGGGAAGACCAGCGAAGATGTACTATGGTCAAGGAGGTTAGAAGTGCTAGGAGGGGGCACGTTGCAATATTGGTGGAGACTAGTCATAAAACGTTTAAACGATTTTGTGCCCAGCGTGACCGCAGATCTGTCTGGTGATTGGTGCGCGTGACATGTCACGTGTGAGATGGATGGTTGATTGTAGAAGGACTCCTTGCAGGCTTGCGCGCGCTCCGTCCGGTAGGTTTTATCAGATCGAAGGCTAGACTGTGGTGTATTCTAGTACCCCATAGCAAGACCAAGGCTAGCTACGGTCACGTGATGTGGTCACGTTGGCATGGTAAGTGAGGAGAGTAAGGAGGAAAATGAGAAAGAGGCGAGGCGTCAAGGGAGCATGGCTTGTGGAAGCTACGCGGCCGACGTCATGCCCTCTCCTACCCTTCTATCCTCATTGACTATGATAGTAACGGAGTAATGGCCGACCGCAAGTCGGCAAGCCAGAGTGGAAAGACTCAAAAGGTTGCCGCCGTCGCTTATAGATGGCGGTAGCTGTCCAGAGTTCTGTGTCATCAGGCCATTCGAGGACGGACACGATCCTGGGCAAACTAACCCGTTATATCTCCGCTAAAAAAAAAAAAAAAAAAAGTTTATTTGTTAGTGAGCGCGTTGGTAATGATGTATTTTTAGAAAGAGTTGTATACGAAAACACAGGGGACTTAAAACTTAAAAGTTTAAAGGGGAGAAAGTGAGGAAGTCGCGGTGTAGGAAGGAGATGGGTCTGAACGACTCGTAGGCGCAGTAAGGCGGCCGCGTCTAAAGGCTTGTTCACGAAGTTGCGTCGACCGCGTTGTGTGTGTCTAAACGTCACAGCACCTCCCCATTGGATCGCTGTAAGGATCGCCATAGCAACAGCTCCATGCAAGCAGTCTTAAAGGGGTACTCCGCCGATTTTTGAGCTACCTCAACTAACTATATTTTCTGACTCCCCGGCTTTTACCCTTTCTGGTATGCTATTTAGTATCGTGAAATTCATAATAGTTATTGCGAAATCGGCAAATGAAAATGATGCAAAAACAAACATTCAAATATACCCGCTCTTTTCAGGGCCGTAACGTCAGTGGAAGGTAAGCTTGCCAGTCGGGCGAGCGGTCTAAAAAATAAAATATGCCAATCATTTGTTCCGTGCTGGAGCGCGGGGACTGGAGCGAGCTTCCAAAGCATTGATTTGACACCATGAAACTGCTTCGAATGAGTTGGGAACAAATTCTACAGTCCAAAGAGTGAACCCCTGCACTTCCAATGACGTCACTTTTTCGTTGTTGCCAGTAGAGACTTTCAGTTTGAAAAACACGGTGAGGACCAAAATTGTAAATTCAATAACTTCGTGAAAAAAAATTATTTTGACCTAATATTTGGGATACTATTTTGGCGATGTTGTTTGGCGAGTTTAGCAAAATTTCAAGCAAATCGGGGACCATGAAGAAATCGGCGGAGTACCCCTTTAAAGCAGCCAAACGAACTGTGTGAACGAGCCTTAAAGGGGAACTCCGCCGATTTCTTCATGGCCCCCGATTTGCTTGAAATTTTGCTAAACTCGCCGAACAACATCGCCAAAATCGTATCCCGAATATTAGGTCAAAATAATTTTTTTTTCACGAAGCTATTGAATTTACAATTTTGGTCCTCACCGTGTTTTTCAAACTGAAAGTCTCTACTGGCAACAATGAAAAAGTGACGTCAGTGGAAGTGCAGGGGTTCACTCTTTGGACTGTAGAATTTGTTCCCAACTGATTCGAAGCAGTTTCATGGTGTCAAATGAATGCTTTGGAAGCTTGCTCCAGTCCCCGCGCTCCAGCACGGAACAAATGATTGGCATATTCTGTTTTTTAGACTGCTCGCCCGACTGGCAAGCTGACCTTCCAATGACGTCACGGCCCTGAAAAGGGCGGGTATATTTGAATGTTTGTTTTTGCATGATTTTCATTTGCCGATTTCGCAATAACTATTATGAATTTCACGATACTAAATAGCATACCAGAAAGGGTAAAGGCCGGGGAGTCAGAGCATATAGTTAGTTGAGGTAACTCAAAAATCGGCGGAGTACCCCTTTAAAGGTTATATAATTTAGCTAATAAAAATATAACACTGATCAGTAATATTTTATTTTCTTGGAACATGGAATTTCACGCGGCTTTTGTGGTACAATGCGTGCAAGGTGGCCTGCATGACCACAGAAATGAGCTGCTGGAAAAAATAAAGGTAAAAAAAAGTTGGGCAATATGCAGGGACGTTTCAATATTTTGCAGGGAAAAAAGTATCTCAAATAGGGACTTCTTCTACTGAAGAACAGGAATGCTTGGACGTGGTGTGGAACATCACTGGCAGTGACAGACGGTGATATGAGCCTACACCCACGATTGCCTCTATTTTCTTTTTCAACTACATCACCTACAACAACAACGACGCAAAAAGCAGACGGATTTTGGCTCCGCATTGCATTCCCACGTTCGACATCTGAGAACTTTAGACGCGAAGTTCTACAAGGGTTCGATGAAGTTTGTCCAATTGGGCATGCGCGAAACACACGTTGGTTGCAGTGGCGTAGCCAGGGGGAAGGCTTACTTCAGCAGTTTTAAAGGATTTAGTAGTCGACATTTCGACTTGAGGCAGGCATGCCTCAGGCCGAAACGTCGACTCACTAAATGCTTTAAAACTCCAACAACGTTTCGAAGTGCGACTTCATTACTTTATATATATATATATATATATATATATATATATATATATATATATATATATATATATATATATATATATATATATATATATATATATATATATATATAATGGGAATGAGTAAAGATTGACGAGCGCAACCATCGTAATATTGTGATATATACACGGTGTCACACAAACACTTTACAGGGTTTCTTTACCGCAAAAATAAACTAGGCACTGCCGAACGCTCATTCTCCGCCAAAAAGGGAATCACTTTCCAACCGCCCGTCGCATCATAGGTGCTCGCCCGCGTATCTCGTTACTTCAGTAATTTTAGAGCGGCGTGATCTTGTAACTTCACGCTTGCATGAACCATGCCAGCCGCAAATCGCTCACTCAAATAACGCTTCGATTGCTGAGAAATCCGACGGTTAAAAAGTTGTAATTGCCGTTGGTCATTACTTCGTTTTCGCGCGAGCGAAGGCATGCAATGCTAGACGCGCGAGCCCAGAGCTCTGTACCTTCTGTACAGTGCATTCCTCTCTTGCAATGCACGCTCGTGCATTTCTTCGGGTTAACTTCACGCGCGTATAGCTTCGTCTATGATCTTAGCTCGCATATAAGAAAAAATAAAGTATAAAAACGTCGAAACTTTTAGGTTCTGATCGGTTAAAAAAAGGGTAAGATAAATCCACACGTACAAGAACCCATCAACGGCACCACCGGCACGCCGTATCTGAGGATAAACCGTGGCGGCACCGAGCGGATTTACCTGTCCCTAATCGTGGTCACGTGATATTTTTCGCACGGCCCAATTGTGACGTACTCGGGATTTTTGGTACGCGCGCTCCTGTAGAGAGGAGAGAGCTGCGTCGTGTTTTTGCCTGAGGAAAAATTGCTTCCCTACAAAGGGAGAAAAATTGCCACCTTTTTTCGTTTAAAATGGAGGAAACTTTCTCCCCTCGTGTAATTCATATAGCTTCCACCAGATGGCGCTAAAAAAATGTTGGTGAAGCGCCAATTTATTTTTTGATGTCACCCGACTTTTGAACGCTACATGGTAAATACACACACATCACTGAACACACACAATACACGAAACACAAAACCCCACAACAGCAACAACGCAACGACACCGAACCCCCGAACGCTAAGTTCGCACTCTCTCTATATATGGCAATCTTATTTTTGAATCCAACTTTGACGGCGACTGCCATCATTTGTCGCACAAAGACGGAAAGACGGAGCAAATATTACTCGTACTTGATACATTATTTGAATCGTTTTTTTGCGCTGTTCTGTTCACCATGTCATCCTACCAACTCGCCCAACTTACAACACTCCTGCTATCTTTGACAACCCTTCCGCGCACACAAAGCCAAACACGCCGGAAGGCACCGAGCAATCAGTAGATGCTCTGCCTCCGTCACGGAGCACCTACTTGATATCTTATGTTACAACAGTCTAGGGCGACTCCAGCGAAATCGACAGCACCTAGCGGTTGAAACAGAAAGCTGTGGCGGCAGGTTCACTCGCCAGACTTCTCGAGCGAATCAGAAATTTACAGCGCCTGGCGGTCAAAAGACGAAGCCGTGAAAGAAGGTTTGAAAACGCGTGATAAAAATAGTTGGTTTAAAAAGC